TCTGCTCGGCCTCCTTCTCTTCTTCAGCTTTTTTCTCCTCCAAAAGCTTTTGCCATTCTTTCTGAACCCTCAGTTGGAACTCTTCTGATCTCTCATCGGTGTCCTGTTGTTCTTGCTTCACACGTTCCTCCGCAATCTTTCGGGCTAATTGTCGAAAGTGTTCCTTTGTCTCTTGTAGACGTTTCTTGTCCTTCATTTCTTCTTCCTTCATACGCTGATGGGTCTGCTGTAGTATCTCGATTGCCTTTTCTGCTTGGGCTCTTCTGAATGCTTCATCACTTGCCGCATCACAAAGCTCCTCCTCCAAACATTCGTCATTCTCAAATTCTTCTTCCTCCTCCTCCTCTTCTATAACTTCTTCCTCTTCTTCTGTGGTTTCCTTCGCGGCTGCCTCGTCCTGAAAAAAACAACTATATACCCACAAAGATGTCAGCAAAATACAACATTGTGAGTGTGAAAAAACAACTATGTCAATGAGTCCTGGCTTGTCACTTTGGGGCGCCGTGTGCGATTCGATATGCCTGCCTCCTGTTCATAATCACTGACTTGGTCAAAATGTTCACTAGTGGTGACGTAGTGACATAAGTGGCCTCAAAGATCATACTCAGGAGTTTTTTTGAGCTTCGCCATGTTGCCATCCTTGCGCCTTGCCAAGTTTGTTTGAATATGTGTGCAAGTACGTGTGTTTTTTCATAAGTTCTGCTAGCCTTGCTTGGGCGGATCTCCGATAAGAATCAAGCACCTTTGCAGCTAAAAGCCGCTGTAAATTGCCCTCCTTGATCGCCCATTCCTGGATCACTGACAAACATTAGCGAATATGATGGTTTTGTATCGGTGAGAAGTGCTGTTTTTTTTTGACAAAATTCATCCGCTCCTCCACTGCTAGTGTTACATCTCTTTCATTCACGAGCCGGTGAGCAACAGCAATCTGACAGAGGGCTTCCTCACACGGAACGGACGACAAAACATCACATCATCACTGAAGTATTCAAAAAAAAACAATCCGTAGGTCGAAGCAGTCCTTGGCTTCTCGCTCTGTGGGAGGGTTAAGCGCAAATGTTGGGAACCAATTGGCAAGGAAATTGAAGTTTCGCTCCGATTGAATCTGGCAGCCAGAATCCCAAGAAGTTCAATAATATTCAGTCACCCATAATTGTAATCTTAGTCAGGTGTACCGTGTCCTCATTCAAACCCTTCGAGCTGTGGACGTCAACGAACGAGAACAGACAGGGCACCTGGCTGATAGTGTGTTTGCGCGGGTCGGGGACAGGTCGAAAACGGGCCAGATGCACCTTCGATTCTTCTTGCATGATTCTCTCAAAACGGTGCTTTGGTATTGATTCCTTTTTGGCAAGCTCCCAAAACCGCTCTGAGCGGAAGTCACCAGCCAATTGTTCGCCATAGAAATCCTCCCACAATATTTTAAAGAGAATCCAATGTACAAAACATGCATCACACATTTACAACTCGAGCAGACCTTCAAAAGAGCAATCCGTCGATCGCAGGGCTTCACCGTGGGCATCGCCAAAACAGCGCCGCCGACCACCGATTGCCAGAAAAAAAGAGTTCACTGGCACATGTGGGACTAGGCTGAACCAAAAATGCAGTGCAGTACAGGTTCATGAAAACACTGTGCTGTTATTTACTCATTCCAAATTGCATTTTGAAGTGTGGGATAGATGCGGGTAGACGCACCTTCTTCACCATCGATTTCTTCAAGCTCCAATTTCCCTAGGCACTGGTCACTGGGTGGTTCAGTGGTGAGACTCAGAAATCCAATCTGAGTTGTTGGCTCTTCCGCAGGGCTCTCAACATAGCGTGCCCCCATCACTCAGCCGGCCAGTTTTTGTAAGGCCCCAATTTTGAGGCCTTTGAGCCTCCATGATATATATTCATGTACATTCCCAGAACTACGCTGATCAACCAGGTTAAGTATAGTAGTTCCGGGCGCCGGTGGTTACTATAGGATTTGAAGCCTAGGGTATATATATATATTTGTATATATTGTATATATACATGCTCGAGGTGCAGTATACAAATTAATCTATGAGTTTGCATTACTAACCCCAAAGATATTATATTTAGTCTAGTATAGTTGTCCAGAACAACGTACTTGCACAGGCTTTCCTTTCTTGATCTTCTTATTCAACACCATGGAACGCAAGATACTCGATATTGGGAGGCCGCTAGAGTTGTAGGAATCCAGCCAGCGGTTCATTTCCTTTCCCACGCCTTTCAAACAGGCCTACTTCAAGCGAGCTCTTGCTCCACTTAGTACTTTGGACAAGAATCTAGATAGCGCCTCAACTGTTTGTTTGAGGAAGCAGACCACTGAGACCTGGCCTTAACTTCATGGAATCCGAAAAAGGGGCAGCGTCACATCTTCAGTCAGAAGTGGTTGCTGACCAAACGGGAGGCTTTCACTTCGCAAGTCTTCACAAGTCCAGCCCTGTTGTTTTCGCCCATCCTGCAGAATGCCCGAGCTGTGGAAATACCCGAGCTGTGCGAAGACGACTTCGCCCATCCAGCGCGACAGGCAGCGCTTCAGTGTGACCGTGGAGTTAGTCTCGCCCGAGCCGGGTACCTCACAGGCTCAGGCATGGGCCACGTAGTTTCGAAACCGCGGGGACGGTGGGAGGATTGGGACGGCGGATTGGGGATATTGGGACGGTGGATCAGGATTCAATGGACGAGGTCGTTTGGGGGGGGATGGGAAAAGTCAGGGCCGTTGCTGCACAGAGCCTTTGAGTTCCGCTGGATTTTGAAGGCTGAGGTAAAGCTGCCAGAGAGGCCTGACGTCCATTTCAGGATGATACATTTGTGCAACCAGGTGGTGACAGAAGGGGGGCTGACAGATGATATTTGTCAAACATATTTATTGTGTTGCAAACCGGACTTGAATGAACAGACGGAATAGTATATAATTTGACTGGAAAATGATTTGAAGTTATTGTAGATACTGTAATGACATTCGAATTGTATGTGACTGGTTGGGTCCCATCGATGTGTCTCACCGAGATTTGATCTCAGCAGAGGGATGTTTGGACATTTTTGCCAGACATGTTCAGGCTTGCTGTTTGGAAAGGTGTCGCTCACGAATCCAAAATGCAGCCGCTCATCATGAAGAAGCATGGTTCGACTGACTAAAAAAACCTCTGACTTTCTCTCTCTCTCTCTCGGTTTGTTTGCGCCGACAGGGCATCAGTCTGCAGGGTGTCGGAACCTTGGACTTGCCACCAGGCGGGTAGAGTTTGGGTGAACGGGGTGCGAGGCCCTTCGGTGGAGGGGAATGTGCGCAGGGGACCGTGCGAGGGAATGTGCTAATTCCATAAGGAATTCATGAATGTCTCATAGCACGTACATAGTAACTATAATGATGTTAGATCATGAAGCGCCAATGGCCGAAGTGACAACCATATCCTGGACAGGAAGGTTGTTTCTTCTATCATTCTGTTGGGTATCTCTCATCGGTCATCTATAGTTTGACCAAACCATCTAGCTCCACCGTTTACAGCGAGAGCAAGATGATGACAGCAACGAGACTTCTCAACTCAACATGAATATGTTGTTCATGTTCATGTTCAGTTTGCACTTGCCTCGCCTAGGTACATTGAACACGGCCAGATGACCACCGCATGTGATCCATCACACCGCCCGATCGACCTTCCAGACCAGATCCGAACCGTCGAACGTGTGTCCAGTGGGCCCTTCGAACGAGAATCGACGTGTCGTGGCCCAGAAGGACCTTCATGTGGCTTCGGGTTGGTCCAACGAGGAAATGCGTTGCCTTTGAAACCAATATGCATCATGGCCGTCGTGACGAAGCACCCAACACGCCGGCCATGGGTTCTGTTTGGACCCCCATAGACGCCGACGGGGAGTTCGAGGAAGAGTGAACCAAAACGTTCTATTGCACGTTTCAATTTCATATGGAGAATCACTGGTGGGAATGGTATGGGATAGACTCAAATCGATTTCTTTCTTAAAAACCTATAAGTTCAATCTTCCAGCGCTCGTACTGAGTTCGACGCTCGGAGTGTCGATCCACTGCTAGATCTTTGGCAACGGCCGACTGACCGAGCCAGGCCTTGAGCGTGAATATCGCTTCAGCGTTTACGCGTGAGCTGCCGACAGCTGTCGGTCGTGAGAGCGCCGACATGCCTTGTCTCACCGGGTGACCGTTGCTTCATGTTGCTTCTGTTCTTTCTTTCAGCCATTCGGCCGTATCTTTTGGAAAGATCAGTGGGTGGTGTACCAGTGGGTTAAGACCTCGGAGTGGTGCGGAAATCCGAGAAAAAGATAGAAAAAGACCATCAAGAGCTTTCTGTTGAGTCCAACATTTGTTTCAGGTGCGGTGGCCGCAAAAGTATACCCTCCCAACATATTTCCCAGGTTGGTAGAGGAGACTACTCTAATCATCCTTCCAAGATGTGTCCCGCCCGCTTCAACGTTTCTTGGGATAGATCCTGTTGACTGTTGTTGAATGACCCCCTACCAGAATGATCAAAGATCCCACTATGTGGGGGTGGGCAAAAAATCAACCAAGACTGGTCAAGCAGGGTTTTGATATGTTCACCTTAACCATCATCGCCGCTTGATGGTTTTCAACTTGCCCCGTGGATGGAAACTTCATAGACTAAATGGCTTGGAGCGGAGTACAGGCTGAGCCGCTAGAGTCTCGAAGAGATCCCATGAGCCACATCCAGCGGGCAGACAGGGTGTGGCTGGTATCAAGACAGTAATTTAATAGTATTACTGCCAGGGTGTATTACTGTGACAGACAGGGTGTGGCTAGTATCAAGACCATGTGCATTGTTTGTAATATCTCCTGGAGTTTTGAGTTCCACTGTAATACTGCAAACTGCCTATAGTCAGTTTGTTTCCCGTGATTTCCCCACTACTAGTATATGTTTGTGGAAACAACACGAGGTAAGAACACATGATGTTCCAGGGCTGCTGAGGGGGGTCAGCAAAGGAGAAGGCACTTGTAAGCGCCGCATGCTCTATATTGCTAAGTTTCCTCAACAAAGGGTGCATCCCAATGAAAACTCCTAGACGAAGGCACGGCGTATACATGGGTTACAGGAGAATGAATTTGCTCACCACTGAATCAATAGGTTCTCAAATCCAATTCCCGGAAGTTCACCACTGCCAAACTCGATTCGTTGAGTCATGCATAGTCTGATGTGTTTGATTCTTCCCCCATGTCACATGGCAGTTTCTGTCTTTTTCGCTCTTTCATGTCCTTGTTTTGTGCACCCCTCCCGAACTCCCGCCCAAGTCCCAGAACCAACCCATACCGGTACGCTGTACCTCCGCTGTACCGTACTACCGAGCACCCGACCGAGCCGAGCGCTCCAGGTACCATGAGGGCACCGCCTTGGTGAGGGTGAATCTCACCAGCCAGGAGACAGGCCGACCGCCGACCGGGACCGACGAAGAACGCGTCTGACCGTTCCAAGACACGACCAAGAACGGACCGCCATGAGCGGCGGTGGGCGGTTTGGGGTATTCGGCAGCATTGGGAAGACAGCACGGGTTTACATGGTAGGTTGTAATCTGGAAACAGAACCATGTTTTTTGGAGACTCATCCTGAGTCTTAAACCGGGTTTGGGCTTTGATGGTGGATGTTTGCACGGTTTGCACATGTTGTCTCTATATTGTGTGACTTCCCTCTAGCTGTGAGGGGCGGGATCGCGTCCGCAACAGCCTCAGGAGATCTCAGGAGGTTTGTTTGTTTTCTTCCGGAAACTTTTATATGTTGTGCTCTTTTCGTTTGACTGAGTGAGTGCATCATGATGTTTGCCAAGAAATCCAAGAAACAGGCCATCATCCAAGTTTTTGCCATCGACCCCAGCCTTTTCTTGTGACCGGGGGCATTGTTCGGTTTCAATATGTGTTAATTTGCAGATGATTTCTTGGTGCACCGGGAAAAAACCAGGACCAACCGGGCGCCCGTTTTTTTGGGGGCTTGACCGACAGGCGAGTTCATGAACATCGAGGTGAAGTTTGATTTCTTTGCTGCCGAGTCGTTGGCCACCATCAAACTGGAGGTGGGGGACCGGTGGCGCCAGGAGTGTGACCTGGACGAGGTGTCTAAATGGAGAAGACTCATGGGAAAAGTGAGATTGGGGAGAGATAAGTGATAAGACATCTTTATAGGCAATTACATCAAATCCAAACAGACACTGCTTCATATCATTTACATTCATCTCTGTCCACGCTTCTGCTTTCTAGGCATAGCCGTGGAATTCATGTTTGAAGTCGCCCCGAGGCCAAGTCTGAGTATATACTGGAGTTCTTCTCCCACGTATGACAAATGAACAGGGCCAAGCGCACCTAAAGGCTCAAGAATAAAGACACTATTCAGACCACTGAGTGCCTCTGGCCGGTGACTGGATGGTGCCACAGGTGACATTTTCAGTGATTCATTGTCGCCAAAACGCCGCGCTGTGACATCGCGTGACCGATCAGTGCTGCAGTCGAGCTCGTTTATGGTTCTGATGATCTAAAGGGCGGTCAGGGGTCGGATTGGAAGAAGCGTAGTAACAAGGGCATTACTGTAATTACTACTAGTAGCAAGGACGCTACTAGTAGATCCTGGCATTACTACTTCAACTTGTAACTTACTACTAGTAACAAGAAGCTACTGGTAATGAAGACAGATTGTTCAGTGCCATTAGAGAAGAACCCATTTCGCACGTTGTGTCAAAGACAAGCATAGAATAAGGCACCATATGGAATTTCATTGTATGAAGATATTTATTGATTTTTTTTTTTTTAATTTCGTCTTTTATCAAGGAAAGTGTCCTGCTTTCCTAGCAACTCAAGAGTCCTCAAACAATCCGTTTTTGAAGTTTGATATCCTTTCTTTCCTCCAGTTCACTCAGACCTCTATGGACTTTACTACTCCCCTTCTCCCCGCACCACGAGGCTGAGGCTCGCCAACGTCTTCGCCCCCCCTCCACGGGCGTTCAAAAACGCCCTTGGTTCGCTCGCGTCGCCACGCTGCGCCCAGGCGGCGTGTCGCCAAGTGGCCCGCCACAAGATCGCTGTCGCCAATCCACTGATGCAGCCGGCGAGGCCAGGCGCGGGCGAGGCCGACGTGGCGAGGCCGGCGAGGCCTGCGAGACTTGGTTCACTGGTTTGGCTGGTACGGGGGTTGGAACCAGTAGCTTTATGATAGTCATCCTTCAACTTCAACTGGGTACAGCTCAAAAGCAGAGTGATGTCAAGTCTAGCCATTCCCACCTGGTATCTTGGGCTGTGGGAGGGTGATATGCACTCCATCCATCTCCATCCACCAGTCCTTGGAATACAGAAGCACCTGCCAGAACCCGACACACCCAGTGAATTTGTCTAGATGTGAAGAACTTGTTCTTCAAACATTCAGCTGTATGATACAGAATGATGCAGACGAGGGCCAATCAGGAAAGCTTGAGAACCCAAGGACACGTATTGATAAATTGGATATATAGTGACGGACAGACACTTAGAACATCACTTTGAAATGTTGGGAA